CCCCCGCCAGATCCCGGGCTCGCCCGCCATGGCAGGTGCGGGCTCCATGGGAGCTCCACGGCCCCCGCGGGCAGGGCCAGCACCGCGACCCACGGGGTGGGCAGGGGCTCGGCGGTGGGCTCGCCGCGACAGGGGAACCGCCGCTGAGGAGCGAAGCCCCTTGTTTTGCTTAGATCCCGGGTGTAAATACGTCCTTTGACTCGCGTGTCTCTTTCTCCAGGGGCCCCGTCAAGCGTGGCTCCCCGGAGCGTTTGCTGCGGAGGCTTTACTTGGCAGCAAGCAGCGTTGGCGGGCAGGCGTCTGAAGCCCGGAGAAGGGCGTTTCTCTCCCTTCTCCGGTGCTTTTTCCCTCCGAAGGCTCACTGCCTCCCCCCAGCAAGCCGCCGGCCCGGGGCAGCCCCCGCCCTCACCCTCCGCCGCCGGGAGGGAGCCGGGCGGAGCCCCTCGGTCCCTGCAGCCCCTCGGTCCTTGCAGGCCCCCGAAGAACTTTTGCCCCGGTGGAGGCAGCCCCCGGGAAGCATCTTAAAAAGGAGCGTGACCCCCTGAAGGAGCTCAAGTTTTACCCAGCAGCTCTCTTCAAGGCGATTCAAGATTGTCCCGAGTTTTTTTTACTGGACAGAGAAGGCGCTCAGACTTCTAGTCTTAGAGCTGGTTTTTATCCTTTACCACCTCCCTCTTACACAAACGTTTGTTATCCCGTTTCCTTCACCCAGTAAGCAGCCTCTTAGGGAGAACGGATCTATTACTTTTAAGTTACTTTCTCCTGTTAGGAAGCTCTAAGAACAGTAGAGAAAGACAATCCGCATTCATGCACTGCAGAAATGACGCTGTATTTTTTTTTATTTTTTTTTTATTTTTTTTTTTTTTTGTGATGGACTCGTTATTAACTGCCAGGAACAGCTGAAAAACGAGAGAAAAGCCCTTCTTTTTTTTTTTTTTTTTTTTTTTTTTTTTTTTTTTTTTTTTTGATTGTAAGTAAAATGTTAAGATATTTTCTGATTAGATTCATACCAAGCTGGGATTGACAGACTGAAGAAAGAACAGAGAACTGAGGAAACCACGTGCTACGATGCTGATGGAAATAATGCTCAAAAAAGGTGGCGAGACCTTAAAACATGTGGCTTTGCTTAGACAGTGGCTGCACATGGGTGGGAGTGGATGCACGGCGTCCCACGCACTTTTGCATCGTGGAGGAGTATTTGACTATTAGCAGGGCTGTAGGACTCTTGCCAGTGGGTCAAAGTAGGGGATGATCCATAAGTGGCTGCTCAGCGCTACAGTAACAACGTAGATGCTGACAGAATTGCACTGCCCTGAGGTGGATGTGGTCACTCCAGTAGATCGCTTCAGCTTACTTCAGTTTTGGGAAGTATAAAAATTGCACAGAGACTTGCTGTAGGAAACTACAATTTCAAGCTGAATATGATTTAAAAGCGAAAACAAAAAGTAGGAAGGAAGGAAGGAAGGAAGAAAGATGCAGTGTGTATTTATAGATCTTTCTCAGTGACATCTTTTAATGTTTATTATTGAGTTGCACCTCTGCAAATGTGATCTTGGCGAAGCAGTGAAGCTGACTCTCGGGTTTTTAGGCTGACTGCTGAAAACGTAACTCCGCGTCCCCTGTGATGTGTCACGCTACTTCGCTGCTTCTGGTGCCTACAGAGGTCAATGAACTCACCCTTGGGGTCGAGTGCTTCCTCCTGGGCCCTACTCAGTAGGTGCTGCATGTTTGTCCGGTCCTCCCATTAAATGCATGAAATGCTCTCCCTGAGAGCTGTCACTACCTCGTAGGTGTCAGGGCAAGACAAGGAAACCTCCTCTGGCTCCCACATAATAAAGGACCCAGGGCTGGGCCCTCTGGTGATAACAAGGGGGGCTGAGCAGCCCCCCAAGGAAGGGGCTGCTGGAAGAGGACTAACCCTGCAGTTGGAGAGCCTCATCCTTAACTATTTGCACGCTTCCTATGAGAGCTCAGGCACTCAGGACAATTAATTAAATTAACAAAAGGTGTAAATTAAAAGTGACTGTGAACTGTATTGAACCTCAATTTGCATGCTTTTATTCACAACAGAACTGACTGCAATTTGATTTAAATTAATTCACTTTCAGAATAAAATAACAGTGAATAGAATAAAAGCAGCTTTAGTTTTGAATGGATGTCTACACAGAATTGTTTGTGGTTTAACTAATCCACTCTAAAAATTAACTCTATTAATTTTCCTGGGCATTTCCATATAGCCTAGCTTGCTTTGTCTCTCTATTTTCGTCTTCTATCAGTAAAATAGAAATAGTAATTGCCTGCTAACGTTTTAAAGTCATTGTGTCAAAGGGTCTTGGTAACTGCGGCATTTTGCCTGATACTCGGGCTATATGTTCTGCAAAAGCCAGGTCTTGATTTCCTACACATGTGCAGAATTCTTGCCTGGTAGTGTTTTACGAGGACTGTACCCAGCTGTACATGACCACAGGAGACATGCAGCAGTGGAGAATTAGGGCCTCATTGTGCATTTTAAACTTTCACTGAACATCTCCTTGGCTTTGGCTCTGTGTTTTCTTCAAAGACTATGGGCCAAGATTTAGGAACTAACTTTAGTCATCTTAATGAACGGCTTCAATGGTGTTAATGGGAACTAGGGCACTTTCTTTATTAATGGAAATCAGGCCACTTAATTACATCACAAAAATACACAGAACCTAGTCTCACGGTTTTCTGCACAACACAAATTATGAACTTTAATCTATTTTAGAGGTGACTCTATTAAAATCAGTAGAGCTGTAGCAAGAATAAAATTATCTTATTATAATGGAAATAGAGTACTTGTAAAAATGAGCATATAAGCACAGCTTTCTCATTGAAACTCATTTCTGTTAAAATAAATTTTCACAGTGGTGAAGCATGGTTTGACTCGCTAGTAACTGGCAAGGATAGATAAACACATCCTGTATTGAAAATGGGGACCTTCTTGGATTTTTTTTTTTTTTTTATCAAAACATGGTGGGGTTTGGACTAAAGGAATTCTGTCTTTTTTAGTTCCTTCTTCCCAGTCAACGTCCTTCAGCATTTTCCGTTCCTTCTTGAATGTTCTCACTCCAAATGGGACTTATTTTGTGCTTTTTGGTTGCCAAAACCTGGGGAATTGTCACTGTTTGAGTTTTGTTGTTGGTTAAATTTTAGAATAAAAGCTAAGATGTTTTCCAGAGAGTTAGGAAGGAACCAATTTTCAGAGAATGCTAAGGAAACAGTGGTAGCATTAGCCGAGTTTTCTTGATGAGAGAAAATAGTGTATCACCTTCAGGCTTCAAACCTAGCTGTTAATAATAAAGCACATCACTTAATGCTCTAAAAATACTCCTGTATATAGAGTATGCATATAATAAAATTAAGCAACCCCAGCTAGATCCATGGTATTTTAATGAACTTCCTCAGTAACAGTAGTCATCGTTGGCACCTGGAAGTGACTATGAAACTACAGATCCTGTAAAACTAGGTAAGTAAACGGACACACTAAACATCTGCTTGTCAGTAGAAGAAGTTATGATTTCTGGAAAAAGCAAATTATTAATTAAAGCATCTTCTAAGTCTCTGCAATAAAACATGTAGGGTTAAAATGAATATTAAACAGATAAAATTTGTACCCAGATTAAGCAGGCATAAATCCAGTCAAGAGCCAGAGTCTTCCCCCACAGAAGAGTTTGGATCAAGATCTTAAACCAAAGAAAGAAACCAGTTTTCCCCAAACTGTAAGTTTTAAATACTGCCATGAATGTGTGTCCATGCAGAGAATAGTTATTCAAAATTGCAGAAAGTTCCCTTTTGTCAACCACTCTCATTTTCCAAGGGAGAGAAATTGCCTCTGTCTTGGTTGTGCTCAGCCTTGTGTCTTACGGCTGCCTGTGCTTAAACAAGTATTTTTGTGATTCTTTAGTTAATATCGCATTTGATCCTGCTGAGCTTAATCAGGAAAACCTGTGTTGACTGAATATGACTTTTGCTTCAATAAAGAAATTGAAGAACTCTCTGTAGGAACTGGGCCTAATTCCAATTTTCTTCTCACTTCTCAAAGAAAAGGATACTGTCAAAGTTTTTTTGATTTCTGGTGATAAACATTTTTTTCTCCTTCAAAATATTATATTACTTTGGTAGTATTTTAGTTTAACATGTTCTGATTAGTTTTATTCTGTGTATCTTTTTTGTTTATACACAGTTGAAAATAAATATGTCATATTACAGGAAAAAGACATCAGACTTTCTCTGCGAGAGGAAAGCTCTGCAGCTCTGAGGACATGTCAGGCTAATTGTCAGTGACTTAAAAAGTGTTCACTGTTCTTTGTGGTGCAAGAGATGAAAAAATCTGTGCAGACTGAAAGCTTTCCAAAATGTTAAATGCTTTCATTTGCTTGGTAAGTCATTTTCCTGTGTTTTATTTTTTATGGCAGATGTTAACCAAAGAACATTTACAATTGCTGTGAAGGAGCACTTTGCTTTTGGTGCTTGCTTGTTCCGCACGGGTGTTGGTGCTTACCTTTTCAAGGAGCAGAGGTTTCATTTTTGGACCCATGTTGTTCCCATTTTGGGCTCCATCGCAGGACCTGAGGCAGCTGACACCACTTCCTCAGGCCTGTGACCCTTCTGGAGCCACAGCAAATGGATACTCCCCCTGCCAAAACACCATGAGGTCCCCAGGTGTTTTTTTCCTGGTGTTAAGGACAAAACAGATGCTGTTATTTCATGTTTCTTCCCTCCAGCCCCCACCTTAGATGCTGTTGGGTTGTTTTTGACCATGGAATGCTTTTTTAAGTGAATATTTTAGCTTCCTTTTCTGAGCCAAATCTCAGGTCTGTGAAACTTTCTTTTCTTTCAGGCCATCACTGCCTCTTGGAAAGCTGCCCTGCCTGGCCTTCCACAAGCCCTGCTCCTTAGCTTCTTTTCCCACTTCGGATTGTC